TAGAAGGGGAGATACAGAAAGAAGGAGAAGTGGAAGGAGGGTGGGGGGTGTCTCCCTCGTAGGGTATCACCGTGGTGGCTGCCTTACTGGACGGAGGCATTTGAGGTTCATGTTAGCCTTAAGGTTTCTCTGGTTTTTAATAAGAAACTTTCTTCACAATTTACAATTTAGGTTTATTATTATTATTATTGAATTGAGTGTAGAATTTATATAAAAAAAAATAATTGTTATTTTTACTTTTTTTATCTTTACACATACTAACAATTATGAAACATATATGATATTTTGTGTGTGTATATTATTTTTATTTTTTAAAACTTATCTCTTCAATTCGCGTAATGAAAATTCTTATCAAATTATTTTTTATTTTTCTTTTTTATGAAGTTTTTTGTTTAATGAATATGATTTATTTTTCTCTATGTATGAAATTCTAAATTAGTTTTTTTTTTAAATAAATCATGAATTAAATAATAAAATTCACATTTTTTATTTTTTTATTTTTGGCACAATAAAATTTTATCGAATATATATATATATATATATTATTTACAACTTATCACTTCAATTCACGTAATAAAAATTCTTATCAAATTATTTTTTTATGTAATTTTTTTGTTAATAAATATGATTTATTTTTCCCCATGTATGAAATTCTGAATTAGCTTTTTTTAAATAAATCATGAATTAAATAATAAAATTCAAATTTTTGATTTCTTTGTTTTTGGCATAGTAAAATTTTATCAAAATAAATTTTATAGTTATTTTTATTCTATTAACTTCAATATATTTCTTATAAATTATTTTTTTTCAAATACTTTGCAATTTATATTGCACACTCTAACCCATGGAGTATGGTTATAATGCATAAAAAAAAATTGAAATCATTGGTTTTATTGAAAATTATCTATTTATCTGCAAATATAACACCAATAATTTACGTTTAATTTTTTTCAAATATTTTATAATTAATTTTTAAAAATAAATTAATTAAGTCCATAATTAAATAATAGAATTCATGTGTTTTATTTTCTTATTTTTTGTACAATAAAATTTTTATCATGATAAATTTTATATTTATTTTTATTGCACTTCATTAACTTTGATATATTCTTTACAAATTATTTTTTAAAATACTTTGCGGTTTATGTTGTATACTTTGACCCACTCGATTATGGTCGTGATTTATTAAAAAAAATGAGATCATTGGTTTTATTGAAAATTATCAATGCATTTGCACACATAACACCAATAATTTACTTTTAATTTTTTCCAAATATTCTAAAATTAATTTTTTAAAATAATATTTTAAAAGAATCGTATAATAATTCAAGTGCATATTTCTTATACTAATATTATTTATTATTTTATAAATAAATATATATGAATCAAATGTATATATTTTCAAAAAATATAAAAAAGATTCATTTGTTAATTTTTATACAAGTTTTTATATTGATTGTTGTTTTTTAATTCGATGCAATCTTTTGAAAACAAATATTAAGAATTTTTTTCTAAAATTTCAGTTTACATTTTTATAAGTTTTTATTTAAGAATTAATGAATAACAAAGAACAGATTGTGTTTTTTAATAAAAAAATATGAAAAACATTAATAAGAATAAATAAAATACAAAAATTTGATTAAAACCTATAAATTAGATGATTTTTGTTTCTTATGATTCAATATATTTTATTACATTCGCAACATAACGTATGCTATTAAATTATAATAATTGTTAAAATTAATTTTACTAGTTCTATCTAACCCACAACATACCGTAAGTAACCATCTAATAAAAACTAAAGAGGTTGAGGATTAATTGTTTTACTCCTTTCTTTTATCAAATAATTATCATTGTACAGGCTAATGAACTTATTAACCCTCCTAATTGGAAAGCTTCTCCAGTCCCTTTTTAATCTCAAATCACAAAATACACACGTATACTGCTTGTCAAATGATAAAATGGAAAATTCTAGAACATTAGTATCGGTATCATTAGCCCAACAACATAAAACACATGAGCAACAACATCAACGATATCATGTTGTATCCGGACAGGAAGAATAACAGCAAATCACTTTGTTCAATCTCCTTCTCTTAGCTAAACTCTTTTTAACAGATCCAACAGAGATCATGGATAGTTATTGATAAAGTTTAAGTTAGTTTTGTATTAATATTTATAAAATTATAGCTAACACTCTTTATGTATATTTTTAATTGTTTTTACCTGTTGTTTTTTATTTCTTATTTGTAACACATCTTGGTATTACTGACATCCATATATAACATACAAGCCGACGGTGGATAAAATAAAGTTATAGCTTTAAGTATATTTTTAATAGTTCGTACCTATTATTTTATGTTTGTTATTTGTAACGCATCTCTATAAAACGGACATGTATATATAATATAGATGTGGAGTCTTACAAAATTGTGCAGATATTTACAACATAATATAAAAGCTTTTTTGGTGATCAATTTTTAATTATTTTTCTATTTTGATGTCTAATCGCTGATTTCTAATGATTTGTTATTCAAATTTTGATTTTTTGTTTGTTTTGATGCCCAATTTCATTTGATGTTTAATTTTATTGACGTGTTTGGCAAGAGTTGCCACATGACAATCAAAAAGTACAACGTGATAGTCAACTCCAAAGACTTCAACCCTTCATATTCTAAGATGGTTGTGGACACTCAAATAGGAGAGAGAGAAAATCAAAGGTTAGACATTGAAATAGAAAAAAAATAAAGACTGGGCATCAAAAGAGCAGTTTAAAAAAAAACAAATAAAAATTATCTCAAAATTACAAAATCAGTTCAATAACTTCTAATAAATATTTTTCATATCATGCTCGTAGTTTTTTTACTTATCAAAAGTAATTTTTTAATACTTGTATCAGTCAAAAATTACTTTTAAAAAAATCTAAACCTCTTTAGTCTGTCTACACAAATTCAATATTATGTTATTTACTTCAAATATATATAAAGTCCAATTAAGAGTAAATCTAAAAAAACAAAAGACATATAAAATCAAATTATGATTGTCATTTGTTGAACAAATGGTTAGTCGATGGGGAAATTTATTATTAAAAAATAAAAGCTTCTTTTATCAAAGGAGAAGATCAACAAACATATAATAGGTGATATAGGCTTTTTGTGACCAATAACTTGCTAAATTTTTTACAATAGGTTAAGATGTGATAGAATCAAGATGAATAAGCTTAGTGATCAAGTTTTTTATTTAAGCATTTAAAATGCAATACTTTTGTTAGCGATGATGATAATGACGGATGTAATAAGAAAAATATGAATTAAGGTAATAAGTGAATGCATTGTTAAAGTAACTTGTGCAATTTGCATAATAATAAGAAATATACATGCATGTAATTGCTGATTTTCTTAAAATTTAAAAAATTACGACTTTCTATATAAAAAGAAGTTTTAAGAGACTATATATATATGTATGTATGTATGTATGTATGTTACGGAAGCACAAGATATGTATAAAATCTATAGATAATAAAAAAATGATAGATTAGAGTACAAGAAGATGATAGATATTTGATATTAGAAAACAAAAATAAATTTCTTAAAAAAATACATTTTCGATGTCCAATCATTTATTTTATTGTTTTATGTTTAAGTACCGAACCTTTAAATTTTTTTTCTATTTCAATGCCTAACTTTTGATTTTTTTTTTTTATATATTTGAGTGCTCACAACCACTATAAAGCATAAGGTGTTGACGTGTCTGGAGTTGACTGTTGCTTGACAACTTTTGCCAAACACGTCAACAAAATTGAACTTCAGGCCAAGTCGAGCACTAGAACAAACAAAAAATCAAAACTTAAGTAGTAAATCATTAGAAATCAACTGTTGGATATCAAAACAGAAAAAAAAAATCAAAAGTTAGATACCAAAAAAACTTTTTTCTCAAATGACATAGTTGTGCGGATAAATATTTTTCCAAAAGGATTTCTTGTGGCTTAATTGGTACAATTTCGATTACACTATTAGATTTGAATGAAATATTGATTAAACTTAAATCCAACCTTATTATATTATTAGCATTTTGCGATTCTGTCTTTTCAACTATTTTATGATTGGAGGAGTTAATTTCAAAGAGAAATGCAATTTAAGGTGAAAAGAAATAGTTGGCCAGCAATGCATGATTCAAGCTTGTCCCTATAAAATTCCTAAACAGAAAGCTCCATAAGCTGTCTTCCGTTTCTAACCTAACAGCGGCATGCTAATTGCCAAGAAGAAAGTTGGGCCCCTTGAAATCATCATTGCATCACGACACCGACCCTGGACCACGGCACTTTAGATGACATGGGAGAAAGCTGAAACGGAGTGAGAAGTTAACGTCACTGAGACCCACAAATTCACATCTCCCTCAACAGATTACACATGCACAGAGAAAGACGGTGAGAGAGATCTTAAAAAACAAAATCTAGATTGAGTTATGACCCCCCAGGAGTATGAATTATGGTCAAGAATGCAAGAAAATTAACATTATTGCATTGGCCCACGAATGCCCTGCTCTTGCCAAAAAGATACGAAAAACTAACATTCTAAGACAAAGGCTACTAGCCACAAACATGTGTGTAATATTTTTTTCACACATGCCTAATGCCTTTGCAATCAAATACATGATTTTGCCATCAAATTAACTATTAGCAGAGAGAACTCTCTAAATTCTCCAATTTATGAATTCATTTGAAAGTTGAGGAATTGAAAACAAAAGGAAAGAAAGAAACAAGAAATTACAAGGGCAATAGATGTACAAATTGTATAGAAAAGAACAAGTTGCAAAATTTCATTTATTCTCTCTACAAATTACTTACGGCTGAATAGATGAAAGAGGCACAAATATCACCACCTATATACAGGGTTCCTCTCTTCTTAAACGTTGCATGCCTCAACCATACATTGATAGATTAAAAACCACCATCAACTGGCCGGAAAAGTTTTCATCATTAATTTATAATAGACCAACGCTTAACAAATAACACAAGCATTTGGATTCTCCTCCATGCTTTGGGCATAGTAATATGTGGTCATTTGAGGATTGTAAGCTCTGTACGCCTTGACGAGTTCCATAACTGGGTCCGGTGGTGGTGGTGCTGGCTCTTTCTTTTTCTCGTCTTCCTTCTTCTCTTCCTTCTTCTCTGCTTCTTTTTTAGGTTCTTCCTTAGTGGCTTCCTCCGGCTTTGCCTCTTCCTTCTTAGGTTCTTCTTTCTTTGCCTCCTCTTTTTGGGTTCCTCCTTCTTAGCCTCCTCTTTCTTCTCAGGCTCAGGCTCTTTTGCTGGCCCTACTGAGATGATATCTGTTTGCCAATATTTTCTCAATTTGCTTACTACACTTACGGGATCAACCGTTCCTATCACGGTTAATTTCTGTTGCTTCATGTCCATGGCAATGGAATCAATTCCTATAAAATTGCAAATGAGATAAAAACAAATCGCTATACATTTATTTCTCAAACAAACAAAGAAAAAAGGACGTGCCAATTTTCCACAACAACAAAAATGTTCCCCATGCTAACAGGTTGCAGCACAAACATATGCAAATGGATCCATCCATCATTTTTTATTTCTATTTTGTTTATTGGGAGCCCCATGACGCCTGGCTAAACGAAGATTTTTTTTTCCATTTTTTTCTTTGAGAATTTAGCTGCAATAGTCCATTGACCCTTCTCCATCCTTTGACTCCCACCTACTCTTTGTTACTATTCTTGTGCAAGTATTTTTTTACTTTATTGTTTTCAGTGGGATGAATTAGACCTCTCCGTTGGAAGTCTAAAGCTTTAACCACTAAATTGTCCCTTGATAATCTCATCTCCACTAAATTCTTAGTTTCTTGTCCACGTCTTGAATAAAAGAAAATAAAGGTTTTGGAAGAATCATTTTATACAACCTGTCTCGCATCACATGCAAGTTTGATTTCCATTTGTATGCACTTACGTGATTAGGACGGACGTACATTTAATAGCCTGCAGTAGCTCCCTGTTGAATTTTCTCACAAAATCTGATCTAATAGTATTGATAGTGCAGTAGCGCAATATTAACTGTGTCAAGTACAAAACAAACACTAGCACACTATTGCAACTCAATTATTGTCACCCAATCAAGAATAACGCTAATCTATATACAAAAATATATTATTCCCAAAATCATTTTCCAAAACAAAAATCAATTGGATTTATGGGATCTGCTCATTCAATACATTGATTGGTTTTTCAAGAAACAATTTCCAGAAAATATTTGATAAAATCAGAATTCCTCCAGCAGTAATATTTCATTGCTACTTAGTGCGTCGTTGGTAATTTGATCGGTGTGGACATTTGTCCTTTATAGTTTGGCATCATATTTACTTACATATAGAAATAGTTAAAGTAAAGAAAGGAGTAATCCGGAAGGAACTGCCAACCAAAAATGAAAAAACCTTTCGTAAAAAAGGCCAGAGAGCAATCGTTACAAAAAAGGGGAAAAAAATAACAGAAAGTTTTTGCATGCTCTAACGAAAAAAAAAAGGTGAGTAAATAATCAAAAAAAAAGTGAGAAAACTAACAAACAAACATGCGATGAGATTGTGATGCAATTTAAGCAATTTGCTTCCCTTCACCCACCCTTGTCACAGACCAAACATAAGAGAGTGATTTGTCAACTAACTACCCTCCTGTCTGAAATCTACATAATCCAAATTACAAAAAAAATTACATTGAAATTCTAAAAAAATATTTAATTAGGTACCTGCAAGAGTAGAAACTGTCCTCAGAGCCTTTTGCTTGGCTTTGTCATCATGCAATTCCAACTTCAACACAAACTTCTGCAACCATAAATTAAATAGATCTAATTCAGAACTTCAATTCAACTACTTTTTGAAATTCAATAATCAGTAAACATAAAACTTGATCGAAGTGATCAAAACTAATTTGATTTATTTCTTTTTCTTAGCTAAAACATCCAATCGTTTTAACTCTTATAAAATACCAAAAATCGAAACAAGTTATAAATGTAAGCCACCAGCCTAGAATCAACAAACTTTTAATTATCAATTGTCTATAAAAAGACCAGAACTTGACTAACGTACAAAATCTGAACCTGAACTTTTGACATTCAAAAGACTCTGTTCTTAAAAAGAGCACTCAAAATATTGATTCTTTCTTTCAACTAATCCTAGGAACAGACTCCAGATACTCATGGGCCCCCTTTAAATAACTATGATACAGGAATCAAATAAACCCATTAACCAGAATCTCTTAAATTCCTTTTTGAAACGAAAAAAGCGTCCAAACTTTTAAAGAATCAAAACCCAATAAAGAACTTCAAAGGGAATACCGAATACATAAACAAATAGAGATGCCAAAAGAGATATCAAACCTTCATTTCTGGTTTGCCTTTTGAGGGATGTGAAGATCGAAATCAGAGATAACAGAATGCGGCAAAAAAATAAAGAAACTGGGGGGCGGGGGGTGGAGGGAAAGAGAGATAAGAACGGATGGCTGTTGAATGACAAGAGAGGAGAATACAAAATCAAATTATGCTTTGCTGAAAAAGAGAGAGAGAGAGAGAGGTGTGGTTATGGACACCAAAAAATTCCGAAAGAAAACAAGAAATGCAGAATAGGAGAGAGAAAAAAAGTAAAGTGGAGGGAGAGAGAAGAGAAAAGTAAGTGCACGAACGTTGAAGAAGTGTTAGTCTCAACACTCGAGCTCTCTAACCTCTAACAGGAAGAAGTAAGAACCATCGTTTTCCATATATGTCTACGCGAGTGTGAGAGTGAGAACTACGCTTGACCACATGTTGCAATCAACTAGTTCTTGGCATTACTCCTAGTATTTTGTTTTCTTTTTTCTTGTGGACATGAAATTGGAAATAATCATGCACTCGCTTTGTGGACAGAATAATCTGGTTAGCTTCATTTAAATACATCATTGGAATTAAATTGTTTTGTTTTTTGATTGTTTTCTCTTGAACACATGTGAAAAATATTTAGTTAAATAGCTGAACAAGATCTTATCTTCATTTAAATCTTCAAAAAGAAAGAAAGTAATTTTAGTTCATTCATATTTGAAAATACAATCCACACATCCTAATTTTCAAAAAAAAAAAACGAAAATAAAAAAAAGTACTGACATCTCAATTTGTTATATGTTTTATTTGGATAAAGTTTCTACTTCTAAATCTCCTAATTATTCTTCATTCTCATTTTTTTTAGCATTATGAGAAACATTTCTGATTTTTCTATTGTATAAAATATTTTATGAAAATTTGATCAATGAAAAACATTTTGCAATTAACCTATAAATATAATGTATTTATTAAATAACTATTTTCATTTTATTAAAATTCATAAAATATTTTAAGAATAACAAACAATTCATAATATCATCAAATTATTTTAACGATTTACCATCACTGTTATTATAATTGTCATGGTTGCAGCCATCATCATATTACCACAAAAATTATCCCATTTTTACTTACTAGATATGGTAAAATTGTTCCATATATGATGTTTACATTTTACGTATTGTAAAATATTTTATTAAAAACAAAAAGGTTTTGTCCACATATGATCTCTCTATTTTTTTAATTATTTTTATTAATATCTTTTTTTTTGTGTTAATTCAATCTATCTCGCTTTTTATTTTATTTTATTTTATTTTTATCTCTCTATTATAATGTCATTGGTTATGGGTCGACACAGATACTGATATGGTGGGTTCATTTTTTAAGACGTGAAACATGTCATATGTAGAATCTAAATAGAAAAACTTAACCGAAACAATTCAAAAAGTACGAGACTTTAATCAAAATAATTCAAATAGCGCATGGTTCAAATTTTTTTTTTAATTTTTATGTTATTGTTTTTAAAAATCTCATCTTAAATGCTATGAAATGTATCATATGTAAGACTTCGTCTCATTAAAACTCTTAATAGTAATTTTTTAAAAAATATTGTAACAATTTAAAAATAATAAAATACACACAAAATGAATCTAACACATAATTAAAAAAAATGTACAACTATGTTTGTCAAAATTAAAACGAATACAACAATAATGCTCACCAATAGCTAATTATCTAACATAAAAAAAAAAAACGTGGTACAACCTAAGTTTTTTTTTTGAAAAAACAATCCTATTTTTCACTTTGAGTTAGTAAAATATTTAAAAATTTTCATTTTTTATGGATGATTATGCCCATTAACAAGGGATTTGTGATTGATAGATGTTGCAAATCACCATATTTTTATTTTAATAATTGCATGTTATTTTTTTTCACATAATATTTTTCTATTTTTATCTTATCATAACAATAATGAAAAAGGTATTTCGCAGTTTTACTCGATGGAGTCTCGCATGTGACACATTTCATACATTTATTATTAGAAATGGCAATGGAGCGGGGCGGGAATCGCCATCCCTATTCCCGTCCCATCCCCTAAAAAAAAACCCATACTCGCCTCGTGCTCCATTCGAGACGAAATTTCGCTCCTCATTCTCACCCCAAACAGGACAAGGTCTCGCCAAATTACCTTTTTAAAAGGTAAAAAGGCTGGGGCGGGGCGAGGATGGCCATCCCCATCTTCGTCCCGCCAAAAAAAAAAAAAACCATCCCTACCCCGTGCCCCGTTCGAGGTAAAATTCCATGTCCCATCCTCGCCCCAAACGGGGCAGAGCGGGACGGGGCAGCTTGGGGACGGATTGGATTGCCATCCCTATTTATTATGAGGTCTAAAAGAAGATAACTTGAAAACCAACAAAAAAAAATTTGAAACTCTGCACTATTTGAATTGTTTTAATTGACCAATTTCTAAAATATTCCATTATTTAAGAGAAACCAAAAAAAAAAACCTAACACGAGCTTTATTGAAACAAACCCCTTATGAAATTTTATATTTTTTAAATTGTTTTAGTTAAGTCTCTTTATTTAGATATCATAGATGACACACATCATGTTTTTAAGAATATATATATTATATTAACTCACAATTGATAACGTTATGATGAAAGAATAAAAACAGATTACATAAAAAATAAAGCAATCCAATCAATAAAAAAATACAAGATTTCAATGAAAACAATTCAAAAAATAAATTAACTATGCATGAAATAATTCCAAAATAAATGCATAGTTGATCCATGTAATAGAAAAGAAGAAACATGAAAAGCAAATGAAATCATCCCTCGTTTTAGTCTGTGTAGATAGTCAAATCCAAAACCATTTTATGTTTTTAGTTTGGAGCATCATGTTTCATAAAAAAAAAATTTAAGTTTTCCTCGAATATTTTAATTTTTTATTAAAAATAAAACTAATTATTTTTAAAATAAGAACAATAAAATTTAGTTTTTTTAAAAATGTAATTTTAAAATTTAAATATTATATATTAATATAAATTTCACTTAAAGAATAGTTTATTTAGGACTAAATCAACAAATTGTTAGTATCCTTAATAAATTGTTTGCAAGTATGATAACGCTCCTGGTAATTAATAAGAAAAAATAAACAGGTCATTTAGCTCGGGGTTGGTGGCGCGTAAAGTAATAGCCAGTGTAATTGAGGTTATCTGAGTCTAACAAGAGCCGTCATTTAGGCATCAGAGGAAATGCGGACCCCACTAGTCAACGTCGAATTTTCATTTCCGAGTTTTGACAATCACCGGCGGCTTTATATTTTCAAGCCGTGAAATTTAGAAATTAGAACACAGCCATTCTTTTGACACGTTGCTTCCATTGCGTCACTGCCGTCACTGCTGGGCACAGGCTTGTAGGCTGTAGCGTTTCCTCAACGCCAACTGGAAATTTTAACAGCATCCAAGCGGGTGGAAAGAGGAAGGAACAGAATAGAAAAGAAACAGCCTTGGGTGCCCCTAGTTTATGTGCGTCGACAACAAGCCTGTCAGTCAGTCAGTGTTATGCTACGTTGATAATTTCGAATTGAAACATTTCAATTCATAATTATTAAATTTACATGATTGCTTCGGGATGCGACTCCAGCAAGGTACTTCCTCAGACTACGGCATGGTCTTGAGATGTCTTTTACTGCAACCATGTTGTAAAATTCGGAACGGTTTCGAAGATTTTGAACTTCCGAAGGACTGGAAGAAAATGTGAAGTTCCGATAGTCATTAACGAGCTATGATATTACGAGAAATTTTATATATATATATATATATATATATATATATATATATAGTAATTATTTTATAGACTTATCTTGAAAAAAGATATAAATATATATAAAAAAAGAAATAAGATAAAAAATAAAAAAAATTATAGAGAAATGAAAATATTTTTATGACTTTTGATGGATCCGGATGTGATTTTTTTTTATGTCTCTATCTCTCTTTTCAAAATAAATCCATAAAATAACTATGATATATATCATTAATTATTCTTTTATGTATTATAAAATTTCTTATGATATTATAAGATGTTTGAAATGTGAAATTATGTTGTAATGTGTTGAACCGAATGTTATAAAAATTAGATCAACCCTATTTTCAAGGATGGTCAATATTCGTTTTCTTTTTTCTTTTTGCTTTTTTTTTTTTAGCTCAAGCTATTCGAAAAACCTTTGTTCAGAACATTAGTGAAATTAAAATTTGAGAGTGATATCATGCTTTATGTTTCAAAGTATTAGCATCATTAATTATGGTCTGAAACTGAAACATCCAATCATGCTTATTGTGTATGAAATATTCATCCTACTAAAAATATGTGATCATAGTCTAGCTGATTCAATAGATGTTGTAATATCTGATTAGTGATGACTAAACAACATAAAAAAATCATTATAAACAATGTACAACTTCCATTCCAATTTTTGTATAATTATCCTATATACCATAAAAAGTACCTCTAAAAATTTCGTAGCTATTTTAGAAAAGGCATTTAAATTCATTGTCTCTGTAATTCATCAAAAGACGTTGTATAAAATGTTAAATTCATATTGCTTGGATCCAATCCATTCCGCACCGGTCTTGTGGTTTAATGGCGTCCATATCTTCTTCTTCTTCCAAAAGATTTATGGAGCAAGAGCATCTTTCATTCTTTCTTGCCAATATATCCTTAGTTAATAAGATAGTAAGGGCGAAAAAAAAATTGATCAGGGCATACATAAAAAAGATGGGATAAAAAGACGTAAAAACTTGTAAATGCTGTGTTTTGTGTCTGGGACCTGCACCCAACTTTTCTATACAAACGAGGGAGACAGGAAACTACGAATTTCCAACATTCATCAACCTTTTCTATTCAGTAAAACAAAATAACCACAAAGAAACCTTCTAAAACGCCTATATAGAGATAATTGCACTGTAACAAAACTATTTTTATTTTTCAATTGGAGATATAGATTTTAATTTTTTTTTTTTACAATTA